ATATATATATATATATATATATATATATATATTCTTTTTTTTAAGTAGAAATCAATGCTTTGGATAGGTATTCAAATAATGGCAATCTTGTAATCAAGAGCAGGCAAAGGTGGTGCTGTTGCAGAATGGAACAGAGATGAGTACATTAAAGAAGTCTTACAACAACTAAAGAACTGTGAGTATTACCAACTTTTGAAATTTGATCCAACAAAAAAGACAATAACTGAACTGATTGATATACTGACACAGGCTAAAACTGAAGAATGGGTTGCACAGAATGAGTATGATTTTCTGTTGTCTAAAGAACCTAGAATTTCTACTAGCTACTATTTCCTACTATATGCTGCCCAAAATACATAAACGTAGAAAATCCACCAGGTAAACCTAATTAACTAGTGGGAATGAATCTATCACAGACTATTTTATAAAACCAATTGTTTAAGATCTGCCTTCTTATATTCAAGACACAAATCATGAATTGAACACTATTAAAGAAATGAAACATGCTGAATATGTGCTGAGTATATTGGTAACTATGAATTTTGAATCCTTGTGTACAAATACATATCATAAGGGGCGCTCTGAAGCATTGTTATACTACCTAGAAAAGAGATCGCCCTTATGGAAAAAAAAACAAAACAAAAAAAAAACACCCCAGGGTGTTTTATGCTACAGTTGGCTGAATGGACATTGAAAAATAATGTTTTCTTATTTCAAGACCAATTTCACAAACAAATTAGGGGAACAGCTATGGGAGCCAGTTTTGCTCCGAATTATGCAAACCTATTCTTGGGATTATGGATAAAGAAATTTGTATATTCTGATTCAAACCCATGTTTAAGGTGTATTGTTTGGTGGGGTAGATACATAGTTTTTGTAATTTTGACATGGTCTGGATCAGAGGCAGATTTGAGGGACTTTTATGCATTTGTAAACACCCCTAATGCAAATTTAAGATTTAGTTTGGATTTTTCGTTCACACAAATTCCTTTCTTGGATTTAAACACCTTTAAGAATAATACAGGGAAATTATATACTACTATTAAAAACAAAATTAAACAAAAAAATTAAAACAACGTACCACGTACCTTGCAGACAATTTTAGAGATTAAAAAGGATTTTTATTTTATTTTACATTTTTGCAGGGCAATGCAGTGGCGCAGTAAGTAGTGCTGTCGCCTCACAGCTAGTAGGTTGCTGGTTTGAGCACGGCTGGGTCAGTTGGCATTTCTGTGTGAAGTTTGCATGTTCTCCCTGCGTTCGCGTGGGTTTCCTCTGGGTGCTCTGGCTTCCTCCACAGTCCAAGGACATGTGGTGCAGGTGAATTGGGCTAAATTGTCAGTCCGATGATGTGACTGTTCAGTTTAACAGAAAGAAGTGGTCTTGCTTAGCACTGTGGAGATTGCGTTAGTTATATCGTTTTGTATTATTTTTGGTTGGTTGGGATGCAGTAACAAGCAGTCAAATACTTTGACGAAAAGATTGACCACTTTTGATGCTCATAAATAATCATAAAAGTCCTTGTGCTGCACGTATTAAGAGGTTTCCTAAAAGTGCAGCTGTCGTGCAGCGAGAGTTTGGCATCTTTAAAAAACTATGACAGTTCGTATTCATTGAAAATAAACAATGAGTGAATAATTTATATGAAACAGTTTCTTAAAAGAGACGTCGCGGCTTTGCACTCAAACTGCATGCGTACCGCGCCAAAGCCCAATGACGCTCTGGCACACCTGGACCAATTGCTAAAACATCCAAACACATTTTGGTAATTAAAAAAAGTAATTATTAAAAAAAAAAAAAAAGAAATAAACAGCAAATTCTAAAAGAAAAAAGCAAGAAAATCAGGGAAACTTGTCTGAGAACACTTTTTTAGTAAATAGCCAAATAGCCAACATATTTGAGCTAATATTGATATATATGGAGACATATTGAGAACTAATTAACTTTCACACTTAACAACAATCATATTTGCTATAGCTGATTACTTACAGTTACTTTGTCTGGAGCTTCCCATGTTGTCAGAAGAAACGCCAATATATTTGTCTTTATTCTTCTTGGCTTTCTTCCTCTCCTCACGTAACCGGTCATCATCCTGAACAAACTCTACCATTTCTTTTACCTTCTGTCGTACGTTAATTCCTTGGTCCTTCCCATTTTCATCTAGCAACACAGAAAAGAGCTATCATTAACCCAAAAGAGCAAGTGTCAAAATGTGACCCCACAAAAAAAAATAAATAAATAAATAAAATAAAATAAATAAAAAAAATCAGTATTTAAAAGTCTTGGTAGATTGCCAAAAAAAAAAAAAACATTTATTGTGCAATGAAAATGAATTAATAATTTAGAACGTATAAACAAATCTATCGGTCCTAATAATGAAATGAAAACAACACTGATTTTTAGGAATCCTCTGAGTGACTAACAAACCTATGATATATAGGTAATAAAGGAATCTTTTCTGAAAAGCCACAATTTTTTTTATTAAAAAAAAAAAATCTGAATAAAGCCCTGCTCGCACTGTGAGATTTCAGCTACGATTTTGTCATCTGAGACAAATTAGGGAAATCCTAAAATATTCCTGAAATCCTAGGCTAAAATCTTTGATCGTTGGTTTGACACAGACAGCTTAATGTTTGTTACGATCAGATTTTTCTCCAATGAAATTCTGGCAATGTCAGAAGATTTTCCTGGTTTAGTAATTAGAGCAAACTGTGTGCAAAATTGCTGCTACCGACAGTTTATGTTTGCTGTAAGAAATCATTACAGAATGCTGAATAGTGAAAGTGTGACAGGTGGATGACATCAAACTCCGGGGAGTTTTCTTTCCTGTCCATGTTTCTTTCGTGTCTTTATTATCGTTCAGTCTGACATCTGAGCTCTTACAGTGTGACATGGAAGTCATGTTCATGCAGTCTGACATACTACAATCATTCAGGATTACAAACAAAAAAATAATAATTAAAAAATAATAATAAAATAAATAAATAAATCACAGTGTGAGATGGCTTTCAAGAGTCATGAAACACCATAACACATTTTTTGAGCAGTTGACAGTCATATATGTGTCCCACACTCCTAAAAACACTATTAGGACATATATTTAACTATGAGATCTTATTGTGCAATAAACCATGTAGACTAGTCGTCTGTACCTGGCATTACCTTGTGAGGTCCCTGAGTGTGCTGCATTCATTTATGAGTAAGACTTGGTTCAAACCAATCAGCGCGCTCTATTGTGTATGCGGTGCAACTTCATTAATATGCATGATAGCTTTGAAGACTGTTTTACCTGAAACAGTGTTAAGATGGTAGAGAGACGACACATTGTGTTGCCAAAACAAGTGGAAAAAGACGAAGAATTGTTTGGAGATACAGGTCGCCAGTGTTGCTTTTATAATGTGCTGCAACAAAGGTTGTTTTCATTTTTCAGCTATTAGAGCGCAACTGGACTCAAGTGTTGATTAGTGCACGCGACCCGTAGCAGAATGCGTTTGAACGGAACATTTTTTTACTCGAGAGCTTTTCGCATCTGGAAATGATGAAATCTGGACTTGCTGCTTGTCTCCTTTTTAAAAAGACGTGGCTCCAGTAGGTGTTGATTGTCCTGTCTCTACAGATTTGGTAAGTGAGTGCGTTCAGTGCCCTTTCTTTGTTCATTCAGATGGCAAAGTTATAGTTCATATCGTCAGCAGTACTCTTTCAGTGTTTAAAGACAGACCTTAGTCAAAATGATTTCTAAGTTACTAAAGTTTACAGTACATTAATGTCACTACAATATTATGGTCTGAAAGATCTGCTGTAAATGCTGCTCTCCGAGTGTAAACATGTAAACACTGCAAGCAAACTATTACCGACCGTCGTGTTGAATTTTCGCCGCATTTCGTGACAGAATAGTCTACACACACGGCTTTCTGACCTACCGAGTGCATCTGAGTTACAGAGAAATGCAGAGGTTTTTTTTCTCTTATACGACGAGCGGTGTGAAATATTGCACATTGCACAATATTGTCATTAAACACAGTCCCTGCCCTGCGTCTGTGTGTTTGTTTTGCCTCTGTGAAAATTGGCGTGTGCCTAAATGGAAAATCCCATTTTTATTTAAATCCTTCCCACTTTCTCTCCCCTGACAGTCCTACCTAAACAGAGCTAGACACACCCACTTTCCTGACTTTTTCCAATCTAGAGGTGTGAAAACACCCTACTGAAACGGGGGTTTCATGGCCCTTTAAAGACGGAGCTTGCACGGAGCTTGACTGATAACGAGGTTGCAGCATCTGCTGTTTATGTGCTGCTTCATTATTCACTAATTCTTATCAAAGAAACTTAAGAAAACACTAGTTTCTGTAACAATTTTATCCATTTAAACTTACCTACAAAATGATAATTTTCCAAAGAGCGTAGGTCATAGATATGTTCTCTGGCACTGGTAACCACCCGCTCTGAACCATTTCTGATGAGGTAAGCTAACAGTAACAAGGCCTGCACACATGAAATGGTGAAATGTTAGCTTTGAATAAAAATTGGTCTGTATAACAACCTTAAAAAAAATCTTCAAATTGTTTTAGTAAGTTTTTTAAAGCATATCTGGGGCTTCTGAATATGGTATGAAGCTTTGATACATTGTGCAGTGTGACAACATGAAACAAATATTTATTTGCGAATGATTATGAGCAATAGATCAACATATCAGCAAGGCCAACGAATCTGTAGATCTTTGACTAAATGTAAATAAAGGTAAACTAAATTTAATCAAATGTTTATATTCACTTAAAAGTTTAAATCAAAATGTAACATGAACAGCATCATGTACCTTGTAAACTCTCCTCCAATTTTTCTTGTTGTCTTTCAGCATTCTAGTCCAAAGCATGTTCATAACTTCAGGAAATTGCTCATACATAAATGTAGATCTGTAGCATGAACAAGAAGGATTAGTCACAATTTGCACAAAGTAAATCATAGGTTTTATTAATAAATTTGTATTGTAATAAATTAGTTGATTAAATTAATCTTAATTTAAAAGTAATTCTGAAATGTTTCAACATGCCATTTTTACAGGGGATCAATGAGAAAAAGTAATTATGCAGTAGTCCCCCTAAATGCTCTGACTGAACAGAGTGGCTGAACACTTGAAGAATAAGGGCGTACTCACACTATGTACAGTTGCCTTGAACCCGGCCAAAGCATGCTTGTCCCCCCTCCCGCCTCCCCTGATGGCCCGCACTCACATTTACATTATTACATTCGGGCCTGGGCATGCTTACGTCATCGATGATGCGCTGTTCAGTAAGCGCTCTCGTTCAGCACAGTGGAGATGCCTTTTGTTTCAGTGGTTTGGGATGCGAAGACACGCAGTCATATATTTTACCGAACAAATCAGCCACTTTTGACGCTCATAAACAACCAATACAAGTTCTCGTGCTGTAGGAATTAGGAGGTTTGCTGAAGGTGCAGCTGTGGGGCACTGCAGTAAGGGGTTTGCATCTTTAATAAACTACAGCAGTTTGCGATCATTGAACAGTAAGAATGATTAATTAATCCATATGAAAAGGTCCCTTAAAAGTCACGTCCCGCTTTCAGTTTCGGGCTCAGACACGTTTTGCACCCACATGCTCTGGCACACTTCTTCCAACCGGGCCAGGGCCGGCCAAGTGAACCGTGCCTGAGCCTTATTCAGAGCACTCACACTTTACAAACGAGTGTGAGTAGGCCCTAAGGGGAACATAACAGCCCCAACAAATAGGCAATGGACTTACTTGGCAATCTCACCCATGAGCTGGCCTGATGGGCCCCAGGGGTCATCATTGGTGGCTTCTCGTACCTTGGACTCAATCTCAGAGTAGTTCATAACAACATTGGTGCTAAAAAAAAGAGAACCATAAATATATATCAGACAATCACAATCAAACACAAATGACAGCAAAATAATAGTAAAAATGTCTAGAGTATCTAGTTTTGATCAATGGGTTTGTATTTTGGATCTGTTTTAGAGACTAAATTCCTTATAGATACAACAATGGTGCACAATCTGACTTTTTGGACCATGACGTCTAATAGTGCTTCAATGTTCAAAACTGGTAAGAAAAAAAAAAAAAAGTGAATATTTCAATGTATGTATATAACAATGTTTCATATAACATATAGCATGAAGATCATGCTTTTTTGTTTTTTTGCTAAACTATCCTCTTGTGGCATATATTTGAAGCAGCTGTAAGCGGATTTGCATCCACTTCTCTTTATATGATTGTTCTGTGGAAATATAAATTAATCATAAATTTATATATCTAAAAAATATATTCTTTTTTTTTTTTTTTAAACTATAGCAGCCCAGGTGTGAAAATTCAAATCTATTGCCTTCCTAAACACAGGCTAAGCCAAAGTGATGTACATGCTAAAGGCAGGGTAAATGTCTTATACCTTGCTGACCCTAGCACTTAATTTGCATGCTTTGCTTAGGTTTGTCCCCTCCCATATGTATCACTGCCAGTACAAATGTATTTAAACTAAGTGCATGGCTGCAGTAGTTCAAATGTTTTTTTTATTTTATTTTTTTTTATTATTGAATGCCAGAGCTCAATGTCGAGTTCCTATTAAAGGATTTTGCTTTAAAAGATACCCAAAATTTCTCATGGTTTTGTTTCTTCTTGAAATTCACATCAGTTATCTTAATCTATCTGATAAAATCTGTGATTGCTGTTAAAAATTCCTCTGCAAATGGGCTCAGATTCAGAATCAGAAGATGAAGAGTTCCAACCTGCCATACACAGGTACAGAGCAGAGCCGAACATTAAAGGGCCATGAAACCCCCTCGTTTCAGCAGGGTGTTTTCACACCTCCACTTTGGAAAAAGTCAGAAAAGTGGGGGTGTCCAGCTCTGTTTAGGGGGGAGTGTCGGAGGAACTAAAGTGGGAGGGTGTGGGAGTGTCTATTTGGGCACGCGCGAGTTTCAGTCAAAATACACACACAGGAGAAATTGATGGTGTTTTCACCTACATGGACATCTGTAGTGGAATTATTTGCCAAATTATTAAATGGTGGACTTTAACTGCAGTTTGGCTCTTTCATTCAGGGAATTCATTCATGCCCCTCGCGACAAACGAGATATTTGATTCGAGGATCTGCTCTAAGCGTGTATTTTTCATGCAATGTTTGATACCGCACGGCGAATGACAGAAAAAAAAACTCTGCATTTCCCGGAAACTTAGATGCACACGACAGGTAACGTCAGAAAGCCGCGTGTGTTATTCCGGTCACAAAATGCGGTGCTAACATGTTTGCACTCAGTGCAATAGTTACCTTAATTCGATACGAACAAACTGAATATACAAAGAGCACTGGTCGCTCACTTACCAAATCTGTAGAGACAGGACAATCACCAGCAACTAGAGCCACGTCTTTATGAAGAGAAGACTACATCCGGAATCCGGATCTCAGCGTTTGCAGATGAGAACAGCTCTCAGGTAAACAATAATCCCCCTTAGACATGTAAGTTATTGTTGTCGAGCGTCGCGTACACTGTTAATCCACACGTGATCCAGATAAGCTCTCACAGAGAGAAAATGAAAACGAAACTTAACGGCAGCAAACTATAAAAGCAACACTTCACGCTTGTTTTGCCAACACAACTTGGCGTCTCTGTGGTGTAAAGACGGTGACACTAATGAATATTAATGAAGTTGCACAATAGAGCGCGCTGATTGGTTTGAACCAAGCTTTACTCATGCATTAATGCAACACACTGTAAGACGTAATAAGACACACTCTGGCACATCCGCCCAGTCTGCACGCTGGAATACAACGCTATTATGTCATGACTGTGACGCAGCTTCAAAAATTCGTTTCAAACAGGAAGTACGAATTTGCTTGAAATAACACAAAAACAACCAATTTACACTTTTTAGTGAAATATAGGTGTCCTAATAGTGTTTTTAGCAGTGTGGGACACATATACGACTGTCAATAGCTCAAAAAATGTGTTTTGGTGTTTCGTGACCCTTTAAATTGGAGGATGGCCCCTTGAGGTGGTGGGCATCTCATTCAGGAGCCCATGAGAAGCTAGCCTCACTAGCTCACACATATCTAGGCACTCCTGCAACCACTGTTCCCTGTAAGCAACTTTTCTCAGTTGCCGCCACATTGTTAACAAGAAAGTCAGCTTTACTTTCGGAAAATGTGAACAAGTTAGTTTGCCTCAGCAACTGGCTAAATGATGATAAAGCTCAGTAGATTTTAAAGGTGATGTGTAAACAAAAAAGACCAGTTTTAGTGCAACACATTATAGTAGTTAGGCTTGCTTGAGCAACTAGATTAAATAATGGAGGTAACGGTTAAATATTGTTCTCTTGGTTTGTTTTAAAAGTTTAATCGAAAAGATTTTTTTTTACACACAAAATCGCAACAGATGACTCAAATTGTGCATGATAAAATGTGGTAGGCCACTGTTATGATTTGACTACATTTATTGCTTTCTGATCAATTGAATACTGTAAATTGTACATTCTGGTTAAGAGGGATGCCAAAGAGACACAGGGACATTGCAAAGACAAATATTATGGTGTGTAGTATCTTTCAACTTGATTTAAATCACCATTATTTGGCCTTGTTAATAAACATATATATATCAGACATAAGTACTGTAAAGGACTGTTGTGCTTTTGTGTTTATGGAAACTTGGCTCAGTGACAACATTCTGGACAGCGCCATTCAGCTTGACCAGCTAAAATGCTACTGAGCAGACAGAGCTATCGTCGCAGGAGGTAGGACCCACAATGGCGGGCTCTGTGTTTACATCAATGAGTCCTGGTGCCGCAATACCGTTGTAGTCCTCAAATACTGCTCACCACTGGTGGAGTTTATGCTTATAAAGTGCCATCTGTTTTATCTACCGAGGGAATACACAGCCATAATGCTTTTCGCTGTTTACATCCATCCCAGATAGCAGGTAGAAATTAGCCCGAACTCAGCTGCCCTTCGGTGCTCAGGCTCCGACTCGGCATCTGCGAGTTTTATCTGGGCCGAGTGCGGCCCGCAGCTCGCTTGCGCTCCTGCATTTGTCATGTGGCTGTTAAGCACTGGCCCGATTCCTGTTAACCATATCTGGCCCAAGTCTGTCTGTAGAGTGCGGGCCGCTTCTGGCTAGGACTCGGCTTGTTTAACTGATGACAACCGATTAAATTCTTATTTTTTCTAGTAATCTGTTAGCTCCACGTTTAATGATAATTTAAGAAAATATCCAGGGTACGACAGCAACAAAATAATAAGAATATTTAGTGTGGATGGTCGCAATGTTTAGATGCAAACAAAACAATATTATTTATAAATGGATTATACATATCATCTAGGGAAACGGTGTAAAATGCACTTATTTTCGAGATAGCACGCTCCTGTGCCGACTGTTTTTTGTTGGTTTCATAAGAAACACATATGCTTGAGTAAAAGCCTGATCAAAACTCCAGCCTAGACGGTGGCGGTAATGCTCCAAAAAGCTGGTTGCCAACCACCATGAAGATCACAAGAAGAAAAAGAAGTTTGTTTGGATTTTCAAAACTTTCTCGTGGATTCCGGCCAGAAAGGTAAGGGTTTTTACAGCTTGTGTACTGTATACTGTGTAGCGTACAGTCCATAGATAAAATTACTTATTGATTTTATTAAGGAGTCTCTGGTTTGGGTTTTACGACTCCTGGTGGCACAAAATCTAGGTATCCAAGTGACATCTCAATTATCTAGAAAAAAAAACAGGTATGGGAGACCAAGACTTCAAAGACATTCCGGTCTCCCCCTCTTCTTACACACACGCGCACACACACACAAACACACACGCACGTGCACGCGCACACACACACACATGCACACAAACACACGCACGCACGTACACACACGCACACGCGCACACACACACACACACACACACACACACACACACACACACACACACACACACACACACACACACGAGGACATTAGTCCAAAAAGAAATTAGACTGAGAAATCCTGGATCAGCCCAAAACTAAAATGTTATGTTTTGTAAACTTTGTATCTCATTTCTGACTTTTCTTACCTGTACAACCCCTCATATAACCCGTATGCCTGGTTCCTTTAGGCCTTTTTAGAGCATAAATAATGTAAGGATGTGGGAATTATGTTGATGTACTTTTAAACCCCCCATGTTTGGTACCGATGGGTTTTTGCTGACATTTTACAACACATGATGCGTAGATCATGATCATAATCACCACTGCTTACATTCTTTAATGCTCTGAATTGATGCCTCTCCGCATGCTTTGGGCGGACACTCAAATTTGCATATGAGCAGCCTCGAGACAAAGGAAGTTTCCTGCTCAAACTTTGCCCTAAAATCATTAGTCAAGCATGTTGAGAGGGCGGGTAACAGAGCTCATGCTTAAAAGCTGGCCCCTCCCCAGGCTCGAGGCAGAAAGTCCGAAAAGAACTTCCCGAAAAGTCGCCCCTTTTAGGGGGCGAGTGGCTCTTCTGTGCCGCGTGGACCTTCCAGCCACATTTTCTTATTTTTCCGGCAAAGTAAACTCAGTTTAAAGTTGCGATCGCATTGCCTCCAACCTGGATTGCAAAACTCCACGCATCTAGAAGGACATCAAAGGACTCCCATCACAACGGAAGAAACTTGCATAATGAGAGAGACCACCAGACACTAAAGTCCAGGTATTTTAGTTATGCGAATAAGCTGTGCCCCTTTTATCAAAAAGGTTTTTTAATAATCCTGGTGGTCCTTAATAGTGTGTGTGGAACTGAAGTAGATGTTCCACTCTTTATCTGAACTCTCTATTTCCTCGCTTTGGTATTTCTCTCTGTTGTTACATGTTCTATAGACCCATATGTAAAGCCTATCTCGATGTGGTTTACCTTTGTTCTATG